AATTGAGCTCGATAAAACATCACCCTTGGCCCTAGCAACTCCTCCCAGGTGTCATCCTTTGTGATCGCACACCTGAACCGCAAGATACAGCTCTCCAGATTCTCCGCCCACCCATCATCGTCCCCAGCGTCGTCGAAGAATCTACAAAGCTCGTACATAACCTCTCCAGAAATCCACAGCAGCCAGGATCCCCAAAGACGCCACGTCTTATCGATAGCAGCTGACTTGATGCGATTCAACAGTCTGTTGCAGCGATCCATAAATTTGCCGCCAGGTTCGATAGATCGCAGGAGTTCAATCTTCCAGAGTTCGTACTCAATCAGATTGGGCGACTGGAGTGAGCCTTGATTTGTGGCGGCGAGAAACTGCATGTTAGCCAAGGCAATGATGATGTTCTCCGTTTCCGCTGTATCAGAAGTGCCGCCAACAGCTTTCATGGCCTCGATGCGCCATTCGATGTTGTCAAATGTATCGCACCCCTGAATATCTCGGTAGCTGTCAGCTACAACTCTGTACAGTTGATGCAAGCAGGCCTGAGCCTCATCGTAGTATTTATCTGTAAGCTGAGCCATAGCACGCGCGGCGTCTGCGAGGGGGCTACTTCCTTTGCTGTACTGATTGAGCAAGCATTGAAGATAGAGGAAGTAGATTTTAAGCAAACGGCGTTCGTCCAAGAGCTCGCCCTTGAACTCGTAGAATGTGGATGGGATGTCTAGAAGCAAGGTGGCGTAGATAGTGATGTCACTCTTCTTGACGAGATCGTCGAGGCCCCGGAACATGTGTCTAATTGCGGAAAACCCATTCAGAGTATCTTGAAAAGCGAGGTGCTCCAGACCCACGGCGACTCTAGACGTGAGCTCCTGTCCGTAAACCGGCAGACGTCCAAGACGGTTCGGCTGGGTCCACACTGCGTCTTCTTTCCATGATCTGTGAATGAGGTCTCTCATACATTGTAGAAGCGTAGTGGAGAGTTCATGTAGATCATTGGGCATCGGAGATGGAATTGCCTTAGCGTCCTTCTTGGTTTTCGACTGTAATCGGCCAGGTCTTCGTGGCGTTGGCCCGTTGGAGATTGTGAAGGATCTGCCAGCGAGTATATCTTGTCGAACGGCTTTGGTGTTGTTTTTTCTCCACTTCCATTTCTGGAATCGTCCCTTGTACTGCCTTGAACTGCAAGCATGGGCGTTAGTTAGAGATCCACGATGTGGCCTGTGACCTTCACCTACCTCGCGAAGAACTGATATTGCTCGGCCATAATGCGCTCGGTGGCCTGTCTCGAGAGGCAGTCTCTCATGTATAACTTCTCGATGTCTGGCTTTCGAGCCTCCCATTCTTGTTCGGTGATGACGCGAGACCGTCCCAAGGAGACTGTGCTTGCGGGGGATATGCTTGACTGAGGACTCGGGAGTGTCTGAGTGAGGGGAGAGGAGGGCGACTCGCCCATTATGTCGGCAGCGCCTCCCACTGGAAGGCTCCAGGGCGCAAACCAGCAGTTAAGTCCATTTTGAGACTGAATCCCTTCCATCTTGACCTGCAACATTGAAGGAACGAGGCCGTTGTTCATGAACTGGCTTATCAAATGGTCTGAGTCTTGAACTTCAGGGACCCCGCCAGGTGGTAGGACAGTATTCCCGAAGTCAATCAGACCGTTGTAAGACAAGAATGGCGTGGTACATTCCGCTGCACTATGATCTGAAATTAAAATGCGGGGGAAGGAGGAACTGGAATTCGGAGGAAAACTATGCATGTCTGCATCGGGTGTCTCTCCCGCCATGATAGCGCAACGTGTGTAGCTAAGAATGGCGACAAGTAGGATGTCCAAGGTCTACCAGGGCGTAATGGGTAACAAAAGGGATATGAGCAAAGGCTTCACAGCACGGGTGCAGCTGATTTTAAGTAAACCTGCGGAACTGCTCAACTGCTTTGATGAGTTCTCATTGTTTGAGGGCGGAGGTGCTCAAGAAATGCATCGCAGGCCATCAACACGGGCAGTGAATCCGAATGATACCGCGCTAGCTTTACGATAGACCCAACCTCTGATATAGTCTGCTAAAAGTCCCTAAAAGTCCCCCAGGTCCTTTTAAGTCTTCCTGTTCCGGGTTTTGGAACAGCTTTGGGAACGGGCTTGGCTCATTGGGCAGTGGAGCCAGGGTTCTCACATTGATTTGTTCTCCGAGTACGGTGTCTAAAATCCTGCTGTTGCTGAATGAAAGTAAGGTACTTTTACTCAGCAACGAAGGTGCTGGTCTCCCGACCACAGATTATGCTGGTCTAGTTAAGCGCGAAAGGCGCGAGTGACGAATCCACATACTGGATTCCGGTACTTGACGCGCAGTATCTAGCAGTGAGCAGCCCAGGGATTGCGTGCATAACAGTTATTCGGTGACTCAGCATGGTTCGCGCCCATCAACGGACCAGGTTGGCAAGGAGGTGTTCGCCTGACGCCGTCACCCCCCCCCCCCCGACAACTCACCTCGTCGGTGCTTCCCCTCTCGCTTCGCGGGTTTTGAGCCCCGCGTGAAGATTATGTTCTTTTCAAGCCCACTGATGCCTTCTCACATCTTCACGATCCCGAGACGAGTAACACCAGGTGAACTGATGGGCCCTTGGGTCCGATTATAGATCAACTGAACGAAATTTCCTTATCTGTTGAGCTCTCTCATTCTCCAGCCCAGTCAATTTTCCCTCTTAAAAACACCGAATTTATAAGCTCTTACGTAGTGTTTGATCGAGCTGTAACCGTTAAGCTTGAGCCTGCCTCATTGGGTTAGATTTGAGATGTTTGCCAAGCCTAACAAATGTAAAGTGATTAAAGTACCGGGTGCTGTTGGGACAGATCATACGGGTTCTATGTTCTCGTAATCATCCCCAAAGAGTAGCAACTTAAAATATGGACCAGAGCAGCGCTATCAAAGGGACTTCGCAATGACTACCAATACTCAGCAATGTCTTTAAGTAGTCGTTGATAATAGAATTAATAGTTCGCACTACCTACGAGATCTTTGTGACAGAAGTCACGCAGTAGAGTCGCCCACATCCGCATAAGTCCTCTGCCCTCAAGTTTGGAGACAATATTACCTGAAGGAGCTTGAGTTATTTAGATGGTCATGTTAGCGGACTCCTGGTGGCCAAGAACACTAAAAGATGATCCAAATCCATGGCTTGTGATGAGTCCCCTCCCCAGTCCCTCAGCGATGCTTATTATTCTTGCCAACATCATTGAGTTTAATGAACTGTTGTTGAAGGGAGCCTCGGTGTTCTACAAGGGTTTAAAGCAGTCAATAAGGAGTTCACCCAGTCAGCAGCCACTACACTACATAGATACTTTACCTTATCAGACTCGAGCATTAAGTCGCATGTATTTACGAGTGTTTGCACCATGTTCTCCACAATAGGTAGGTGCTCTTATCTGGTCAGAAACTGAAGATTACTTCCTTGTATTTTTAACCAGAATCGATTCCACAAGATTCTCAGATATCTGAAGGGTTGTGGCTAATCAAACCGCAATAAAATGGCGACAGCTGCTGCCGCTACCGCTACTGCTGCTATTCTTTATTGCTTCTACCTCTTCGATAAGCCCAAGATCCTCTTTATGTTGATGCCAACGATATTCACAAAGGTTTGGGCAGTCCATCCATTGACCCTTGAATATTTGTCAATGGTAGTCGTTCCATTCAACATATCGTATGCCACTGCTCTCAGATTGACACAGTTATCCTTGTTCTTGATGCACCCGGCAACAGCTTCACCTGCATTCTTTCCCTCGTAGTATGCGCCCTGCAAGAACCCAAAATATTGCGGGTGAGTGGCCTCTCCAGCAAACCACAAGTTCCCGAGGTTTGCGCGAATGTTTTGATGCATCTCCAACGTCAGGGCCGGGGGCCAGTTCGAGTATGACCCGTATGCCCAAGGCTCGCGAGTCCAGTTGTGATGATAGAAGTCGATGGGATCAGGAATCTTCCTTTGGAACATGTCCTCCAGAACTTCCATGATTTGTTTCTTAGTGGTGTCAAAGTCCTGCGCCTCCACGGCGTAAGATTGTTGGTCGACGACGGTGACGAAGACGATACCGGAGCCATCCACGAAGTCTTTGTGATCTAGTGACTGGAAGTAGGGATAGTAGCCTCGCTGCACCGGATCTGCGTAGAGGAAGAATTGAGTACTCTTGTCCCAAAAGACATCTTCAGGCTTGAATTGCATAAAGATCTTCGTGTAGGTGCCCATTGTCATTGACTGAATGGCCGTGCGTTTCCAGAGCGGCAGCTCCGGTGAGAAGTTGACCACCTCCTTCTGCAAGACACCCAGCGAGAAAGTACAGATGGCATAGTCGGCGACGATGCAGCTGCCGTCCTCATTGTGTACTGTGACACTGTCATCGGAGTAGGTGATGTTTTCGACGATAGTCCCAAGCCTCAGCTGGGTAGTCTCGTTCAGAAACAGCTTCGCCTCTTCCCTGAAGAACGTGGCGAACCCCCGGTTATCGTGCACCAGGTTGTTATTATCCGCCCAGCGCTTGAACGATGTATTGGTGTTGACCACGGAGTACTGTTGAGACGTCTTCTCCGGCGGATTGGCATATTCGAAATCTATTGAAGACCATTCGATAGCTTGTGCCAGCGGGTCATTGCCCGGCTTCCAGCCTGAAATTGCGAGACCGGCACGGGCACTGCGGTCTTGCTGGTTCTTCAGAATGATTTCGCCAGCGTCGTACTCGTACTTTCTTGTGGCATCCTTGAACAATTTATCCAGCTCGTCAAACTTATCTGTCCAGTCTCCGGGCTGTAATTGACCAGTCTCGTTGAAGACTGTGACGTTGTCGAAGTCGGAAAGCGTATTTGTCAGGTTGTACTTCTTGACCATGGTCAAAATAGGGTTTTCCTCAGCTTCGCTTTCCGTTCCTTGGACCCTGTGTGCGTGTAAGTAGGCTGTCCAGAAACAACATCAGAAATATTCTGGAGCTACATACCAGTTCGCACCGAGCTCTACGAAATAGGATTCATCCGTGCCCGGCTTCTTTCCAAAGGCGTGATTGTAGACTCGTCCACCGATCCGATTGTTGTATTCAACAATGACAAAATCTGTGATGGACGCGTTTACCAGCGTTTGGGCAGCCGTAATTCCCGCAAGTCCAGCACCCAGGATAGCTACTTGGACCCTGCTGCAGTTCCCCTTATCATCTGCAACAACTTCTCCCGTCGGCGCGGTCTGCGCAAGGGGAGCGAGAAGGGCAAGTAGGCCAAGGAGACGGGCAAGCGATCGCATCATGAAGGATGTCGGCAGACTTTGACGATCTTCTATATTAGCGGATGAAGGGGACAGCCCAGAGAAGCCAAGGACAACACAGGGCACTCAAGAAGCATCAGAAGCTTTATACTTCTACCTCTCTGAGTCGGTTGCGGTGCCAGAGACTTTTGCCAAGGGAAGTGTCTTGATTAATTTCGACACATTTTGTGAGCAGCGGGCAGCTTGTTCTAAAAGAGGCATCGCCAACTTCACGGCGCCGAGCCGTTGCCTTCGAGCCTGCCTAGGTCTCACATTACGGGCATTGGGCATTTGCGTGTTCACAGTAACAAACACCAGTACTGATTAATGTTGATGGCTTTACCCGTGAGATCCGGATCAGGCATGCCATCATAGTATGGCATCTTTGAAGTCACTTTGAACCATGGCTATTATTCCACTGTCCCTTCCCTCACATGCGACCCGGGCCAGATGCGGCTACCGTACATCACGAGAGTGCGACAGGCAAATTCACCAAGATCGTGAGTCAACGAATAATAACGTGAGTCTGCAACCCTAGTCAAGCCGCAATGTTTGGCCAGTCACTTCGTTTGCAGCACACGAGAGTAAATAGGTGAAGTATGGGATCATATAAGACATTTCAGCCGTATGAACGCCACAATGCTGGTTGAGAGACACCCCGCGTATCCCGATATGTTTTCATCACGGCTTCATCTGAGACATGGCTAAGGCAACTCACCTCTGGAAGTGACCAGGTTAGCTTTGGATGCTCGTTTCATACTCAAGACTATGTCCCAATCTGCTTCTGGCAACATCTTACCTTCAAGCCTACAGCTGCCCAAACCAACAAAACCTCAAGAGTCTCATACTTCTCCGGACAATCTCGTCCCTACCTTACCTCACTTCACAACAACTCCAGAAGCAACAATACAAGCAAACCCAACATCCCACCCCTTGTCCCCATACTTCCCCTCCAAATGCTCCTTAATCAACCCCTTCACCTCCTCCAACCCATGCTCCCCCCTCAACTCCTCACTCCACTCCGTGTTCACAACCAACGCAACAACCGGCCCGAACACATCCAGCCAGTGTTTCGCATCCCTCACCCTCACCGTCCCGCTCTCCAAACACGTCTTGACGTCCTTAAACCCGTTGTCCTGTAGATAGTTCCTGACCCAGTCCTCATCATACCACTGCCCGACATCGTGAACCTGCGCCCGATTCTTCTCCTCGAATGGCGCTTCAAATGGGAAGGATGCGAATGCTGACCTCACGTCCGCGACCCAGCCTATGTGGTCGACGTGCGGCGTGATACAGCCGAAGACCCCGCCGGGCTTGAGGATCCTGACGACGTCTTGTATGGTTTTGTCTGGGCGGGGGATGAGATGCAGACCGAGGCCGATGACGACGTGCGTCAGCGAGTTCTCAGCTAACCCAGAGTCCTGCCCAACAGCACAACATATTAGCAACGGAATCTCGCTCTTGGGGAGAACCTCACATCTCAAGAGGTATAGAATAGAGTTCTCAAAACTCACCATGGCATCCAAATTCTTCGCCCTCGCCCCAACCCACCCCTCCTCCCGAATCCTCCTCTCAGCCAGCCCAACCATCATAGGCGACCCATCCGCACAAACAACCTCGCTCTTCTCCAGCACCTCTCTCGGCACAACCTTGTAAAGCTCCTGCGTAGCCGGACCAGCCCCGCACGCGCTGTCGAGAAACGCAATCGGCTCCGTCGTGTGGCCCAACCCCATCTGCTGAATAAGCCGCGCGTTGAGGGGCACCATCATCTTCCGGCTCATCTCGATCATGGTCTCTTCCCAGTGCACGCCGATGGTCTTGTCCATGGAGCGGAAGATGGGTGCCGTGGGGCCTGCGGACTGGGGGGCAGTGGTGGTTGTCATTATTGCGCTGGCATTCGAGTAAGGACTAAGTAAGTCGCCAAGTTTCCGGGCGTTAGGGAGATGTGTACATGCTTGGGGTACTCAGGCACGTAAGAGTAATCAAAAGCCAGGACGGTTTGGGTTGACCTCTAGTCGTTCAGGCTCCAAAAGAAACTTGCCTACTGATATAGGCTGAAACCTCGGAAATATCAGTCAGCAGGATCTTACATGGTGTGGTGGAAATCAGGCCGGGGAAGTTTCCGATAAGTCGCCGGCAAGCTCAATCTCGCTCAATCTCGCTCAATCCGGCTCAATCATCGCGACTTGAGTTGACGACAAACTTCTAATGAAATCGATGATGAAACGTGCGCGTTGGAGCATTGCTCATTCAGCTCTAAGGCGCATCAACGTGAGGGCAAGCGGCGAGGGACACACCCATATGTGGACCACGTTGCTTCATCTCACCAGAGCCCCCCAACCCAAAGTTTCCCATCACCATCTTCTCAATCACATTATCATAGCTAAGCCGTAGTCAAAATGCGCCCTCTCGAGTGCTGGGGAAAGTGTTCATATAATAACACCAACTAGACACCCAAAGCCTAAGCCTAAGCCTACACCGCCTAACCAGCCGCGCCCCGGCCCAAAACCCCGTCCGCGTCAAATACAAGGTTTCTTTTCGCATCCTCTTTGTACACTTTCCGTGGCTCACTCTGAGAGCCCAAGTCCGTAGTTCAGTCTTTGTCTAGTTTTGTGTTTCTTCTCTCCACACGCCTTTGAGAAAACTCCCGTCCGCCGCCCCCATCACGCCAATAAAGTTCCAGACATTACAGGAAGCGCAAGCTTCCAGAGGGACCTCTTTCAACGAGGCCATCGACATCTCTCTTCACCGTCCGCAGACGTCTCCGCACTTCTGACAGGTCCATGCCACCCGGGTTCGATCCGTGGCCAGCAGGGGGCAGTGATGCTTCGCATCTGCTGAGCAGGTCCTTAACCCACGCACCGAGGGCACCATCGCCCTTCATCGAGGCAGCACCACGACGCTTGACCTCGCGTTGCCAAACATCAACAGAGAAAACAATGAGCTCAATGATGCGGTTGCGGTTGTTACCACTAAAGCCATAGTCTTGGGTATCAAAAACACTCTCGAGAACGCGAGTGACCATGTCATTGGATACACCGAGGCTGAGGAAGAGCTGCACAGGCCAGGTGGGGTCCGCACCGATCTCAGCATCTTGATGATATTCAACGGCATACCGACAGATCTCGGGAAGCAAGACGGGCACCGGGAAGATGAAGCTATCCAGAGAAGTACGGTGGGCGATGTTCTGCACCTTGACCGACACAGATTCGTAGGGTGAGGGCAAAATAGGGATGCCGGGACCAGCTTCCTCCATTCGCTCTACAGCCTCCTCGTGGATCTGCTCGATGAGGCTGACCCATGTTTGGGAGATTGTGCTGGGGTTGCGGTAATCGGCGCTGTGGTAGATGAGGAGGCACAGATCATAGTAATTCGCTTGGTCGGCATATTGGTTGAACAGCTGTTGAAGATTAGTCCCACTGAAAAGCTGACCGCATCACTGGGGTACTCACATCTGACAAGCTTATCACCTGACCATCCAGCGCTTCCTCAATTTGAGCCTTGCGATCAGGGTCAACGCGGCTGTCGGCCTTGAGCCTCTCCAACAAGTCATCCTGGATGTTGGCAATGTCAAGAAGCTCACTGACTTCGTGGGCCAGGACCTGCTGTTGTTGCCTGCCAACACCTGCCGTAGCAACGCTGGCATTCGCCTTGGCCTTGCTGAGAAGGATAATCCTGTCTTTGATACCAATGGCAAAGTCTGATTGGGCAAGATCATTCTGGACCTGAGCAGCCTCAAAGTACCGCTCGCGTTGGGTGTAGAACCTGCAGAGAAGGTCGGCATGGTTCACGTTGCTCCTCGCCAGACTCTGGAGGTATGTGATGACGTGTGGTGATTCGATAGCAAGAATTCTATCAGTCCATCCCTGCTCGATGTACCACTCATAAAGGTCGAAGTGGAAGACCTCATCGTCCGAGTCGTTCACTACGCTGTAGGCCTCGAGGCGTTTGGTGCCCATCAGAGTCAATCTACCGTCAATCGTCTCCGGTTCTCTGCTTGACGCGGCATCCAGGTGTTGGAGAGCCTCGTGAATGAGTTCGTAGCATTTCCTGCGCTCCGAGAAGGCGTTGGCCCGAGGGTCGTTAGCGGGCTTGCCATCATGGACCCATGACAGAGCGGTGTTGCCTCTGTCCTTCTCACGGGCAACAGTGAGGCAGAGCTGGATTGCACCGGCGTAGTACTTCAGGTCGATGTACTGAGACACGGCGTTGTGTAGGTTGGCAAATGAAAGAGCACCGGCGACGCGCTCAAAGAGCCTCAAACTTTCATGCAGAAGCGCGCGAGACTGGTTGCTGTTGGACGGCTGCTCAGACGCTCTCTTCAACTGCTCCTGGGCCTTGAAAATGACAACATCATCGGGGCTGCAGAAACTGCCACAGCGTCTCCGAAGAGCATCCGCGACAGTCTCGACGTTGGAACCGCTCTCAATGTTGCGATTGACGATGGACTTGACCAACAGCTTGGCAAGATCCTTGCCTGAAGATTGTGAGAACAGGCTCTCGTATGTGAGACTTTTCAGTCCTTGCTGCGCCGTCGCATCCAGTCTCGTAAAGATGTCACTGACACGCTCATCAAAGAGCATCAAGACGAACGATATGCCCTCAGAGATGCTCTCCATCAGTTTTTGAAGTGCATGCAGGGCTTGGTGCTCTGCTTGGAGGGCGACTTCCTCTTGTTTGCTAGCCACTCTTTGAAGGTCGGAAGGACCCGACAGACCCTGAATGAAACTCTTGTTTGCATCAAGGAATCTGCGGAGACGCTCCAACTGCTCCTGAGTCGAGTGAAGCTTTGCGATGGGTACCATGGATTGAATAGCAACTCCGCCGGTAGGGCTGGCAGCAAGAGCAACCACGTGATTCTTCCATAATGTGCGAATGAGGCGGGTGAGATAGACACTGAGAGCATCGTGCCTAGGTGACAGGCGGACGGAGGTTGTATTGAGAGGGGTGCCATCGGCCTCAGTGATGGAGGGTTGGCCACCGTAGTCGACGAATACAGTCCTTGCGCGGTCTTCTGTCGCCTGATCGATTGCACGCGTTGCGCCTGGCCTAGCATCGCCACCATGACCGCAAGCTACAGCAAGAGCGCAGGAGATGGTTTCGACGCGGCCGTACCGAGAAATGAACTTTCGAGTCTCCAGCTCCAGACCTTCGTCTCCCACTGCGCCACGAATGGCGGCAGCGAAAGTATCCACCAAACGGCGACGACGGATGATGTGTACACCGGTGTTGGTCAGTACGGCAAACTCGGTGGCCGGCTGGTCGAACTGAACCGCAAGCTCATTTCCAAAGCCAACGGGCTGGTTTGCCGCGGCAAACGGCTTGGTTACCAAACCGACATCTTCGGCTCTGCTTCCAATGTCGATCCAGTTTCCGTGCTCGTAGTACTTGAGCGCAGCGGAAGATGAGTTGGCCTTGATTCGGCCAGTCTCGGGAGCAGAAACGAAGAGTAGATCGATGTTCGGATCGTTGTCCTTAACGACGAAATCCAAGAAGTATCCCGGCGCAAATCGAGCTCCAAGCCTACTCAACTCCAGCGCCCTTGAACCAAGATCGATAACGGCATCACCCGCGCTGTTGGTACCGGATCGTCCAGGCTTGTCCGACGGCGGGAACTTGATGAACTGGACCTGCATGCTTTGAGGGGGTGTGTTCGAAGAAACGCCGCCGATCATGTACGAGGCAGAGCTCGTAGCGCTAAGGAACAGACGGCAGCCGGTGTTGGTGAGAGCCATGAGGTGCAGCTTTGACGCCTCTCGTGACGGAATGGCGCTGATGGCAACAAAGGCAGTTCGATCGTTGAGCAGAGGGGACTGGGTAATCATGTGGGTGATATCGCGTAGGCAGGCGTTGCGCTCCTTTTCGATCACCTTGGTGAGCTTGTTGGGCCCGTCCATGTGGTATGTACGAATGGTGGATCTTGTCGAAAGTGTGTAGACGAGCTTCCGGGAATCGTCAATAACAATGCTCTGAAGACCTTCCGGAGACTTTTGTGCCCAGAAACCGCTCTGGAGAGTGACGACTGAAGACCAGCCTGGGTTGGTGTGGTTGATCTTGCCGCATCTGTTCGAGAACCATTTCTCCTCCTGCTGGTAGTAAAGCTCGTGGATATCGGTGTCGTTGCTACCTCCAAAGAAAATGCGGCCGTCCGCAGTGCCCGCGATAACTCTGACATCGGTGCCTCGGAGAGGGAGGTTAAGCTTGGTACTATAAAGCGAAACGGTCTTGGTCCCCGATGGCGTGGTCTCGGCAGAAAGACCGAGAAGAATCATCTCAGAAGACGTCGCAACGACTAGAATGTGCGTAATGGTGTTGACAAAAATGCCAGGCTTGGGTGCAACGAGAGCGACGGCGTGAATCGTGTGCGGTTGGTCCTCGAATCCAATAAGTTCGGGGTCCGGGTGGGTATAATCCCATAGGAACAGCGAGTTGTCGATGACCACCCAGGCATGGTTGATCTCGGCGAACAAGCCCATCAACGTCTGGAGCTGGCCGGTATTGTAGTGGCTGAAAACCTGGTTCGGGATCGGGTACATCTGGGTCTTGTGGAAAGGTGCCCAGGGCGAGTCGAGCGTGTTGAAGTCATAGTCTGACGATGCTCCTGCTATGTGGGCGTCAGAAGCCGTCGCATGAAAGGTTAGATGAAGGCAAGGGTAGTAGACTTACGCCTGCAGTAGGAATCGAGCTCGGGGTAGTTCTCGTCGGACTGGAGGAACTGGTTGACCGCTTGTGCTGCTCTCGTGACAGGCGGCAGGTTTTGCTGGGGAGCTTGGGCAGATGTGGTCGACACCAATCCTCCACTTGTGCTGGTTGATGCAATCGTCGCGGGTGCCAAATTTGATCCCGCCACCAGCGCGCCACTGCTGCTTGAAGGTGCGTCGCCCTCCGCAAAGAGTCGTCGTCTAACCGGCTCGTTGTCGTTGGCGAATCTGGAGGCTGCGGGCGTGTTGAGAAAGGCGCCTGGCACCGGCCGCATCGGCGTCATCTGAGGGTAGGACATGTTGTCGTCGAGTAGTTCGATCGATCGGGGTAGTGAAAGGCGGGCAAACGCGT